TGATCATGTATATGTTTGTTTTTGTTCATTATGTGGAAAATAAATAAATCAATCAATCAATCAATTGCACTATAGTCCAAGCGGGAAACATATACCTATAACGGTAAGTACCAACTTTGGCTATTTTACAATAGATATATGTTTATAATACATAATGCATGATTCTTGTATGATGTGTATATATAAAAATATTTTTTTCGATTGGTCAACATACCCAACGTAAATGAAAATGATTCCAGAGGCCGCGAGACAAATCAATGAACAGGTAAGTAAGACAGTAGATAGTAGCGAGTCCTTCTAAACATATAGATAACAAGATCAAGTACAAAACCGGGGTTAATATACCAATAATTTTTTCTGTTTGGTTATTTGTTCAATGAAGTACAATTACTAATTGACAACTTACATAATCTAACATTGGTCTGTCATAGTCCTAATAAATATATTAATCAAATATAAAAATGGAGACAAATAGGCCAACATTTAATGAACGAATTAAAATCAATACACCCACGAATGTATTGTATTCAAGTAATGTAAATTTTAAATTTTATTCAGTGTTTTAAACTCTGTACTCGCGTACAGTTTAAACATTTACCAACCTTGTTTTCTTCAAGAGCAAACAAAACAGTAAAACTGGTGAGATGGTTACATTTGCAAAAGGTGTGTGACAAATTACTGGAACTGACAGAGCAGCCTTGAGTAGACCACGTACTCCTGATATAATAATGTTAAAGAGAATTTGCTATCCATCTTATAGGAATTCTAGTATTAAATTTACAGGCATTTCAAAATTACAATATATTGTCACGTGAAAATATAAATGCAAAATCGTCCCAGACATATAGTTATGTAGAGAATATGGTAAGTAGAAAAATGAGCCAAGAAAAAAAGGGCCTGATAAAAATGACAAGTAAAAATGGTCAAAATATTATTGTGTGATCATCAAATATTTATCTTACTGAGTAGTATAATGTTAAATCATGACTTACGGTGTCGAATGTTCGTCCCAAAAGACACAAAATAAATCACCTGCGTCTACAGTAGGCCTATTCGAAACCTGAAATAATGTAAATTTGAATTTAATTTGCACTTTAAGTAAGTACTAATCTACAATTAGTGAGTAAAAACAGGTAAAATATTAGAGACAATTATTTAATGTACAAGTTTCATCTTCTTTTGAAGAAAAAGTACGATACCCGATGGTTATACTCTGTAAGCCTTAAAAAATATTATATTTCATTGATAGTTATACAGCTTTCTATTTATAAATAATGTTAAAATAAATTCAGGGGCAGGGGCGGATGCAGGGGGGGGATGAGGACCCACCCCCCTCCCCCGTCGGTCAAGCCGAAAAATAAAAAAGGGGGAGAAAAATTTGAGTTAAAAAGA